GGCGACACGTTTTCTTATTGCCGGCAACACAAATTGTTTGGTGGGAATGTACACATAAATTTCGTAGATGTATTGTGATTTCACTTCAATATAAAAATTTTGAGCAGCCCTGATTTACAGAATGAAAGAGATGTTGAAAACGAAAAAAAGAATTTATTTGACATGAAACACGAGAAATACAGAACATCAAAATTTGGATTCATAGTGAACTTGAGCCATTTGCACTTGAAAGTGAATTTCAGGACCTGCCTGAGTAACTGTACTTGTTAAAATATATTGTGCAAGAACTCTGTAATAACGAAAAATCTGGTAGCAATGGAAAACACAACAAGCTTTTACAGTGTTGCAGATTTGTTCTTCATTTTACTTTGTTGGCCTTTGTTTGGAAAAGGATTTCTGCAAATATGAGTAAATGTTTTTGACAAGTAATATAGATATTTTAGGATAAAATTATTTAAACATTAAATTACATACTCTTTTACTAAGAAGCATTATGCTCCCCTAAGACCAAATGTGGTGACAATGAATCTGTGTGGTTTGAAAAAGGCGAACCTACCGTAAAATGCAAAAAGTTGTGATGAAGTCGAAATCCCGAAAAATCTCGGGATCCTGGGAATAGAATTTTTAAATCCCGAAATCCTGGGTTTGTTAAAATGCTTCGGGATTGAATGCACTCATACATACATATTATGTATCTCAGTATAATATCTCTTGCCATAATACGGTGTTGGCATGAGGCGATTTTACAGGCAACTTTTAGTTGAAAGCAACATTCGCCTGGTGTGAACGGCCTTTCAACTAATCGCTTCCAATGAAGTTAGGGTGCAGCCAACTTTTGATTCAACTAATCGCATCTAAAGTTGCCTGGAAAATCGCCTCACGGAACACCGTATAAAGAAATTCCTCCGAAATACGCAAGCGGCACTATATGTATGTAAGTATAAGAGCTGCAAAACTATCGATGGCTCTATCGATTTCAGGTCACTATCGATAGTTGTAAATACTATCGAATGGAGATATTCCTATTTATCAAGAAAGTCCACCTCACAGAATTTAGGGCTGGCAATTGGCTCGTGCAAGAAATATTAAAAATTTATCAAATATATGATTAGTTTTCTTGAATGAAGGAAGAGAGTTCACACATGTATTATTTCTTGGAGATTTTCGGCCGGTTTGTTCAAAATAAAAATTTTAATTTTTTCTCCTATGGGATAGGTGTACGCGTATGTACGTAAAAATGGCGCCCCATATACAACAAATCTCAAACAATGCAAATATGCCTAGTAAATTTATACGATATACTATCGATAGTTTATTTTTATTTGACTATCGATAGTTATTTATCTCTAAACGATAGTATCGATAGTTTTCTTGAAAATATCGAAACTATCGAATGGTATGACTATCGATAGTTTTGCAGCTCTAGTAAGTATGAATTTTTATATGCATGTTTGTTTGTAGATATGAATGTATGTATGTACACATTTGTAGCAACATTGTAGCAGCAACGGTCACCAATGTTGTGGCCGCCAGCCAGCAAACAAAAAAAAAGAGACAGTTCGACAGCAGCTGTTGTCGTTCGACACCGTTGCCCACATTTTTCCCCACTTTTTACGACTTTTCTGTTTTTGTTGGTTGTTTGCATACGGTGCACAGTGTTCTATTTTAGGCAAAAAGAGATAAAATCAAATATCCCGAGAACGAGAAGAGATAGCGAAAGACATGTAACGGCATTTTAAAGCTTATGAGATAGAGAATTCAGCAAAAATGGTTCCCTTGGATAAAAGAATTGCCTTGATTTCAAAAATGACCTTCAAATATAAAAGGTCTTAAGATTTTTTTTTTACCTGAAAGCAGTACATATGCAAAAATTTTGTTTGTTTTTAGTTGTAAAATATTAGGTGTTTCCATGGGAAGGTCTACCGTGCAGAAAAAAATAAAAGCATATAAAATATGTACTGGTTATGTAAGCAGAAACACTTTGTCGGAAAATGGTCCATATTTATGGTTCGATTTGGTTCGATTTTTACGTATATAGTTGCAACATAATAGATCATAGAGTTCCAAATAATTAACCCTTAAGTCAAAATTCAAAGTATATTTGGCATAAAATTCATATTTTATTCGCGTTAAAAAATTAGTTAAAAACAATTTGAACAATAATAAATCGATGGAAATATATGTCACGTCACGCCGTGTCACGTAACGTTTCACACTTGGGGTTGTAAAGGAAAATTGAAACAAGTTGCATTAATTTAAAATACTCTAAAAACAACTAGAATTACTTTAAATAATATTAAAACAAATTTCATTAAAAGATCCATTCACTATTCGCAGAGTTTTGCTATTTTGTAAGAAAAGAAAAAAATCAACTTCCATTTTTATCACATAACGTCACTCTCTTAAATTACGAATATTTTCGGTTAAATATAGGGCTAATTATGTGCTATACAAGGGTCCAAAAAAGTAAAAGAAAACAAATGTTTTTCCCTGTTCGGAAATACATACCCACAATCAACAAATAATGTACTTCCAGGCAAGGCACATTAAACAGGTAGTATCAGTAGAGCAAAAACAACATTTGCGTGTATTTTGTTGTTGCTTCTGGTATCGAAAGTGTCAACAACTGTTCTGAATTTTTTCTTCTAAATCAAAGCGTGCCATGTGAAATACAAAAAATTATAAAAAATAAAAAATTGAAATTGGAAAAAATAAAAATTGATGCAACTTTCTTTCCTAGTAAATTTGTTTGCTTCTCGAAGCATTGATCCATCCTTTGCAAGGCCCAGTAATCAGCGGTCGTGCTGCCGAGTTGGGCGAACGTTCCAAAAGCTGCTATTCAATCGCTTGTTTTGTATGGAAAAAGGTTTCACAAGCAAATGGATTTTAACAACTTATAATTTTCGTGAGAAAAAATTAAAAATATTTGACATTTTCGAGACCAAATAATTTGAAAATAAATCAAATCAGCTGCTCTACTGATACTACCTGTTCAATGTACCTTGCTTCCAGGGCAAAATTTTTTTTTTTCATTCATCACAAACTGTTTTTAGGTAAAAAAAAATAAAAAAGTTTGCGTTTGAAGGACATGCTAAAAATCTGATTGAACGAAAAGTAGTATATTTTTGAATTTTGTTTATTTCTCCACCTGAAACCATGCGATGCACTTGAAAAAAAAAAAAATGAATGCATTTTTAGGATTTAGTAACCATTGAAGTGTATTCCCTGACACAAGAACTGCAAAAATATGTTCATATTTAAAACTTTTTACAAAGTATGTACATTGCTGATTGGTTTTAGGCGAAAAATAAATTAAAACCATCTATATGTGAATGTCATTTTACAGGTCAAGGTAATTTATTTTTCCAATGAGACAAATTTTCCTGAACTCTCCATTTCAAAAGCTAGTTACATTTATTGTGCTATCTTCTCGTTCTTGAGATTTTGATTTTGTCTCCTTTTTTTCAAAAATATAACACTGTGCAGCACATGTAGCCCCACGTACATTTGTTAAACAAATATATTTGTGTTAGTATATGCGCGTACACACACATGCACAACTACGCCGCCGCTAGCAAATCGTGCAGCCTTCGTCTGCTGCTCGCGTTTAGCTGCAGTTAACTTGGTTTCGTTCATTTTTCGTTAAATTCGCTACATGAGCAGGGTTATCACTGTAAAACTTTCTTTCCTACCAAGAGCTGGTTCAAAAACCTAATCTATTATCGATTCGCCACTGCATTTCAAAGAAAAATATCTTTTTTATAAACCTGCCTTGCCGTCTATCAATTCAATCACTTGATATCCCTTTAGATACCCAGTGGATACAACTTTTTAAAGCGTATACGGAGTTCAGGGAATCGCCGAAGGTAGTTGGTGAAATTCTGTCTATGCCTGTGAGCAACCAGTTTTTTAAGGTATTTGGCAAAAAATAGGACCCATCCAAGAAACAGAATGAGGGTAAAACTGATATTGTCCGAATTTGGCAAGCCTACTCACAGTGCAGACAAAGCGACACACTACAACCAGAGATGTTTTCTGTTTTATGAGCAAAGAAACCTACCAAAATTTTAAGCGTCCTACCACGCTACCAACGAGAAAAAACCTACCAATTTTGGTAGGAAAAGCCGAGAACGGCAACCCTGTACATGGGGCCACCAACAGAAGCAGCTAGAATGCTAGTGTGTTGTTATCTGTATCACTCAAGCGGCGCGACAACCGCTTAAACAAAGGAGTATTTCGCAAAAACTCCTCACTGAGAATAAAATTTCCATCTTCCTCTCCATGCAACTCAATTCAAGAACAATCAATTTGGATTTCCACTTTTGTGAGTTAAAAACAACAGACCGCTGTTCAACTAGGTATTTAGTTTTATTTCTTCTGCCTCAATATTTACCACACGCGCCCATGCCACTCAAAATATTACTCCTCATAAAAGAGCGTTCTGCCTCTTTTGCTCATCCCTCATTAGTTTTAATCGTTGAAGCAGCAGAGAGCGCTCATTGAGTATTCTTTTTGTGTATGCTTTGAGTTTGATGCACCGCTTGTTTGGTTGTTTCTCATAGATTTTTCTAAATTCAGTTTCTGAATTAAAAGCTTGGTGTAAGAAGCTTTGCAGTTTAGTTGTTTTGTGTTTTAAAAATGCCTAAACAATCGAAAATTAATTTAGCAAAGTACATATCGTACGACCGCGAGGCAAATCGATCGACGTGTCTTTTGTGTAAAAAAAATTTTAATGGTCGAATTTTGCACAATATTAAAAGGCATTATGCTTTAGTGCACAAACATGATTTTGAAAGGTGTGCGCCGAAAGAACCCCCAAGTAAAGCCAAAATTAACTTAAGTCAAAATGGCTTTTTGATGTGCTGTGTGGGATTGATTACCGTTAACGCCATGCCGCTCACACTTTTTGATGATGAAAAATATTTCAAAAGAATTATAGAGCCTTATGAAAACGCGTTTAATATAAGAGTAAACTCGACGAGTATAAGAGAAAGGCTTGACTCGTGCGCGGAACAAATGAAAATAAATCTCTCTAATTTACTAAAGGACAAAATGTTGTGCATAAAGTTTGATATAGCCTCGCGAATGGATAAAAGTATATTGGTCATTAATGTACAATTCATTAAAAATTTTCAAATACACATTTTTACTATTGCAATGGTGGAATTAGAAAATAGGCACACGGCACCTATTCTGAACGAAGAAATCTTAAAACACTTCAATACATTTGGTATAAATGCAATCCAGATATATTGTTCTACTACAGACGATGGAGCGAACGTTGTGAAAACTTCCGAGTTGCTGCAGCAAAATGAGATCACAGATGCTGATGAATATGAGGAAATTCACAATAGATTAAGTTCGGTACTAACAGTGGAGAGATGTGCTGAAAACACACTACAATTAGTTGCACATGATGTGTATAAAACTGTAACAGCAGAAGTGGCCGAGTGTAGGGAAACAACTAATTTTCTTCGACAAATAATTCGTAATGGAACGTTTACTGAAAATATCCCCATGCCTACACTAGATAACTTGACTAGATGGAGTTCAACACTCGATATGTTGACTTCTCTGCTGAACCTGATAGAATTTGTGAAAATGTATAAAATTGAATGTGAAATAAAGTGGGATTTCATACAAAACTTTGTTGCTGCGTTTAAGCCTGTTGCTGAATGTACAAAAAGTTTGCAAACAGAAAACTATGTAATCGGAGATTTTTACAGAGATTGGCTGCTTTGTGAAACTAAATTGGAAACTATGCCGAACAATATCTTCGCCAGCGCTTTATTGCAAGCAATGCAATTACGAAACGAGAATTTTTGGTATAACAATACTTTCGTAGCGGCTTTATATATAGACCCAAGATTTAATTATATGGATTCGCCGTTTTTTAATGAATCGCGAAGAAAACAAGCAGTGGTAAGAACATTTTAATGTATGTATATTACTTGCACTCATTTGTAAGCTCAGCTATACCGGTTAAAAAATACGCGGCCTGTTGCGTAGTGTTGTAAAGTGAAAAAAACTGCTCTATTGTGAGTTGTTGATGAAAAAGTACTTAGGAAAATTTTTGCTTCCTTACCGGGACGTTACACATTTAATTTTCCCCTTTCAATTTTCAATACACTCACAACTTTTCTCTAACACACTCTTATTTATTACTTGAATTGGCGGTTTGCTTTCAGTTTTTCCCTTTCAAGTGAGTTTCAATTTTGATCAGCTGTTCAGCATTGGTATGCGAATTTTGTGAAAATAAAAAAATACCAAGCTTCTGCATGCTAAAATGTTAATCTATAATGGAATTAAAAATGCAAAATGGTCCTCAGAAGTTAGTTATTTTGTTTTCTTGAAGACGACATGTTGATAATGAAATTTCTTCTCAAACTGCTCAATTATAATATGATCAAATTTACAAAATTCTCCTGTGAAAACTTTCCGACAGAGCTATTTAGTTTTGTCGCTATTGTCGCGAAAATTTTGTGAGAATGACAATTGTCAGCACCATTGTCGACAATGTTCCAATATTTTCGCTGTCGCTTTCCAAGTATTGTCACTTTTATGAAATAGGCGCCTGGTGCAAGAAAAACATCAATTCCAGCAGTTTTAAAGTTAGCAGCGATTATAAGGTTTTGCGCTCAGGGATCATACCAACTCAGTGTATGAAACGATAGCAATAAAAGACTTAACCAATCTACCGTTTCCATGGTTTTGACCGAAGAGCTTAGTGCTTTCGAAGAGCTTGCATGTTAAGGCCGGTCCACATAGAACTTTCGCGTTGGCTTTGGCGTTGGCGTTGGTTTGACAGAGCGCACGTTAAAAGTATGCTTGCTACAATGAACGCTTGGCAAACGAACGCTTGGGCCACTAAATTAACATACTAACGACAGATAAATTTATATTTCATATCAATAATTGCATTAAAAACGATATTTCTTGCCCGCACTATATTAAAAAGGAAAAATGTTTCACATAATTTTATTTATTTGCAACAGCTGACGAGCGACGCACGCGAAAAGTTGAGGTTGGCCTTCTTTTTGCTTTGTGTTGGCGTGAGCGTTGTCGAACTTTGGCTATGTGGACGGCTGCATTTGAATTCATGTATTCATAGTCTGCTGTTGAAGCGACGCCAAGGCAAACGCAACGCCAAAGTTCTATGTGGACGGGCCCTAAGGATTAGACTTCTACTAAATACAGAGAAGAAGAGAAAAGGCAAAGATGTATTAAAAAAAAAAAGTTGCTGTTGCGGGACCCACGCTAAAATCGTTTCTCCCCAAACTTTATAGCGATAGAATGAGCGATTAAAAGCTATTTACGGTCGATAATTGAACTAGAAATCGACACTCACAATTGCCTGATTGTCCTTTATCTACTTCTTATCGACACTCACAATAGGGGGGTGAATAATTTTAAGTAAATGACTTAATCTTAGTAACCAGATCTCAAGAAAATTAAAAACTCTTTTTAAAAAGCGCTGAAGAAATGGTGACGAAATTTTCTTGTGCTAAATTTCCTTAAAGGTTAAATCAGTGGTATATGTTTGCGTTTTTCAATATTTCTATATTATAACCTATCCTTTGATTCGTCTGCCATTGAGTTTGTTTTTACTCAGCAGTTGTACCTTATAAATATTTTTATCATGGTATATACTTATGGCCTTACTCATAAAAAAATAAAGTAGCTTTATAAAAGGTTTATAAATTGAAAAATATATGAAAACGTCAATTTATAAAGCTCTTTAAGCCTATTTTATATTTTATGAAAAAGGCCATTAGTTTCTAAATTATTAAAAAAGTAAGTGCACAAATTAGTGATCAATAAAATATTATTTACAACTTTTTGTTATTTTATTTTTTCAGTCACATTTAATTTCTACGAGCAGAATTTTAACCGACTTGGAGGGAAATACTACATTTAATGCAGAACCAGAGGTTAAGCAGATGGAATTCGAATTTTCTCCATCTTCAAACGATGATTTTCATTTACTTGAACAAAAAGTGAACTTATTGACGCAGCAATCTCCTCAGTTACCAACCAATGTTCAAACAATTCGTCAGAAGCTTGAAGGCTTATCACACAAAACAAGAATGCCTTTCCAAACAAACATATTAGATTACTGGAATGAGTTGAAAAGCGATGAGCCAGATTTAGCTAAATTAGCCGAAGTGGTTTTAGCTGTTCCATGTACTCAGACTTCAGTGGAACGAGCCTTCAACGCTCTTTCGTTAATCTTAAATAAGCATAATTCCAATCTTAAAGCAGAAAATATTAATAACTTACTTTTTACAAAGTTAAATAAAGATCTGTTAAACAATGTGAATTTTTCTTAGTGTAACTTTAAGCCATAAAACTGTAAACTCTTTTGTTTTTAATAATTTTTTCTCCATTAAAGTAAATACATACATACATATGTACAAATTTTATTTGGTTTTATAAAAAGTATATGTACAGAGAATACGTTAAATAAAAATTTGACATATGTATTTAGTTGTAAAAAAAAAATGTTTCTTGTCCTTTTGTTAAGAGGTTTTGCAAGCCGTAAAAATATACACATTATACCTATGTAAATGTCTTAATTTTAGAACCACTTTTTTTTAGGTAATTTTTTTATCAAATTATATACATATTTCAATTTGGGGTAGATACACGCTTAGTATTATTCCACAAATACTTCCACAGATATGTAACCAGTATGAAGATGTATTCCAGATTGTATTGGATATGCCACCCCCTTTTTTTAATAAACTCAATTATTCTTCATAAATACTGAATTAATTTCATACATATGTGTCTTCGTACAAAACTTCAGTGCCAAACAAGGCACATTGAATATGTAGCAGCAGCAGGGTTGCAATTTTTATATTTGTTCATGGTTTGCTGGTACCTGTACAATGTGCTTGGTGCCAAATATGATAGGAGTTTAAAGTGAAGAGAATGTAAATAACTGTAGCGCCTCAGAGCGAGAGCATATTGTAATGAGTTGGCAAGCAACAGCAACAGCGTTGCCAGATGGATGTGTTCAACGACATTTAGAAATTTCTGTGTTGCCTGTTGACGTTTAGTATTTTGTTTCTGGTAAAATATGACTTTTTTTTGACAGGTCTCGGAAATTGACAATGGAAAGCTTTCGAAAGACCATTAAAATATTAATTTAGCGGTTGTGATTCTTGAAAGATAAGTCACACAAATGATAATTTTTCCAAATATGTAAATTCGCGAATGTTGAACGAATGTTGCTATCAAATGTGACATAATGTTACACTTTCATTATACACAGTCAGCAAAAAAAAATACGAATAAATCAATGACATTGGTATGGGCCAGGTCTGAAAAAGCACCTAAAGGTTAGAGTAGAAACCCACACCCCGATGTATTCAGCTATATTTAAATTTTATGAGCTGAACGCCTAAAAAGATTTAATTCTCAGGGTGATGCTAATTGGCTTTCGATATTCGTTGTCTTCAGCATAATGAATCCGCTCTAAATGGTCTGATGGTAAACAAAAAATATTACTGAATAGGTATCTATAATGAGAAAATCAAAAGACGACATTGTGAGGGAATTTTAAGTCGAAAAGTCAAATCATACTATCGACCAATCACAATATTCGGCTCTCTTGGCCCGTCTGATTGTTTTCTTTCCAAATTTATCTGCCCATTAATTACATTTCTTGAGAACTGAGAACAAAGTTTGTGTTTAACGCCTCTATTCTGTATCGGTGACAAATTCTTGTCAGTTTTTTTTACAGAAAAATATATGAAAAAGATTATACTTGTCAGTAAACAAATGTTTGTCACCGAAACAGAATTGGACTATAAAAGACAGTTAAATTTTAAACCCTACTTGAAAAACTCGCTTTTAATCAATTGAGACCGTAAACGAAGGTCATGGAGGGAATAAAACTTTCAGTGATGCCCAATATTTTCAGATTGAACAGCGCGCACCACTAATTTGCAAACGCCGGCAAGTTTTTCTGGAATACCAATTTTTGTTCACCACTTGTTTTAACTCAATAGTTGAGTATTCAAGAGTAATCAGTGAAAATGGGCTGACAAACAAGTGTGGAAATTAGGGAGAGAGAGTTATTGAACTTTACTATAGAGGCAAACCCCAAAAGAGGCGAGAAACTGTGCAGTATATCACTCACCGCTTTACTAGAGACGGAAGAGTTGCTGTCAGCTGTCATTTTGGTTGCTAGATATAAGTTATATCAGTGGCAATATTCGTGTGTGCTTTTTATATCTTGATATAAGCATTTGTAAGATGGCTTCTGAAAGGTACTTTTGCCGGATTTAGTCGCTTAAAAATTGGGAAAATAGGCTATTCTCAATTTTTACTTTTATGTATATTTAAATATCAATAATGTTGCCGCCACGAAGTTTTCATGCAAATGAAAATGTAATGTCAAACCACCGAAATTGCCGGCAATAGATGGCAAGATATGGTATATAGCTCTTGAAGAGCAATGAGCGGTCTCCATTGCATCTACATATTTATATTCTAACATATGTATCAAGATATAAACTTTATTCTGTGGAGACGGGCAGAAATGAAAACTAATTTCCCTCTCTCACTAAAGAAACTTACCCCCCTATTCTAACAAAGTGACGAAACTAAACGCATCCCTATTGTGATTTTTACTGCGCCTAAAAATATACCAGAAAAACTAGATTTTAAGTGCCAAGGAAATGCACACAAATTAAAAAAAAAAATTGTAGCGGCATATTTGTCGTAGCAGCATACTTTGAAGCGCAGTAGAAATCACAATAGTGATGCGCTGAGTTTTGTGACTTTGTTAGAATAATCGGTTATTAGTTTTAGTTTGTATTCTTTCGCTTCCACATTCGTATATTTGGCATTTTCCCTCGTGCATCGCTAATTTATGCCTTTCCATCCGAGTGCGTCTTTGGCTCAATCACAAACAAAAGGTAACAACTTTGCTGCCAAACAACTACCTCAATGGGCAAAATTCTTATACGTATTGGTGTGTGTGTAACAAGCGTGCTTCTCAGCGTTGCCATAACCAAAAGGTCTTTACTCCATGTGATATACGAGCACTTTTGAAAGCACTCTCCTTTACAGTTTTAAAGCCAATGCATAGATAGCTTCTTCTTCTTCAGAAAGTAATATAATGCTTGTTTGTAATTACATGCATGCATACATATGTATGTACATACTTACGTACATATCGAGCGTATTATCCCAGTAGCGAAAATGGTCACCGGTGACATCGTCACTAATGAGGATTTAGTGACATCGTCGCACTTGCTGTGAATCCTAAACGACATATAGCTGACAATGACACTGGTGACAATGTCATGCAGGTGTACTCCTATCAAAGACTTATAACAGACAATGTCTTGCAGCGGTCACTTATAAAAAGTTCATTGCAGGACATTGTCGCTTGAATGTCATCAATGATCACTGCATGGCAAAGTCATGCAGATGACATCAACGACGAAATTACCATTTATGTGAAAAAGTTATGAACGACTTCCATACAAACGGAGCCCAAAGTCATTTAAGACGGAACTTTTCCGTACAAGACTCTTAAGTGACTAATGCATGACATTCGCTACGGGGATCCTAGCCCATTGAGAAATGCACAATTTTCCGTATCCGTTCGTAGAAATTATGTTATTTCAAAACAATAATAAGCTAAACATTTGCAAGCATGTATGTATACGTAGTTAGCAGCAGCTGCGCCTGAAGAGGAGCATGCCGCTCTCAGAAAGGGCCAGGTTCGAATTCCGTCATATGCTTCCTTATTTTTTTTTACCATGAAAAACCATCTGTGAAGTGCAGAAGGAAAGCATATTGAACGACAAATTCAATCAGACCAAATTTCAGAAAAACAGCCAAAAACGTATCCGTTTCAGAACAATTTTCGGTATGTACTTGTCTGTACATAAGTTTCTGCCGCACATTTTAGTGTGAAAACGGATCGTCAAAGTATGCGAAAATGCCATAGGTAAACGGACAAAATCCGCATTTCATCCACTTTTTCAATTTTCGGACCCAATTACTCGGTACCCAATACTTCAGAAAGATTTCGGTACCCAATACCGATTCTATACGTGTATTAAACCTTCCTCATAACATAAATCTTAAGTTAAGAAAAAGAAAATCGTCTAAAACGCAATGCGGCGTACTTATAGTCAAAATAAAGTCGACACTTAAGTTAGTTACACCTATTTGACATCATTTTTAACAAAATATCTGTCAAAAAGATACAAATAACTTTTTAATCTACTTTATTTCGACTATGAAGAAGAGATTCTCTGCACTAAGGTGACAGAAAATGTATATATATTTAGCATTTGAATATACTTTAAAAGCTTTATTTGCCCTTATACTCGGATTTTGATAGGCTAGGCTTCCCTGAACCGCTTTTATTCCATATTTCTGGTCTATGTGCGTTCCTATTGGAAGCCTAAGCACCGAGTCTCGAAAGTATTGGGTACTTTTTAAATCGGTACCGATTATCGATCAATACTTAATAGTATCGACTCAGCACATCACTAGACAGCAATTATGATAAGGTTTTTATCAAGGCGAATTTATAAAAGGTGGTGTTACTGGCGAATTTAGATTTTCGCCAGTAACAGTACCTTGTATAAATTCGCCTTGGTTTTTATTTTTTATTTTTTTCAGACAATCGGTATTACAGGCTTTGGCAATCTTATACCTTGGTTATAATGCACGGAACGAATCGTAAAAAATCGCGGCGAATTCGTAAGGATCTATTGATTTTAGACGCATCCGTTTTGCATTTCGTTTAAGGGCATTATAATCGTTCGAATTCATTGCCCATACAATAGATAATTAAGTGACAGTTCAGTCCGTTCCGTTACTTCCATTATAATCCAGGCATTAGTCATGGAGCTATCGCTCCGTCTGTTGGACAACACGTAAAAATCATCATGAGCGATGAGGAACATTCCAGGATGAGGGCTCTGTGACAGGGCGAAGTTGAGTACTTTACTCACTTCGGTATTGAATTCAAAAAGCGTTGTCGTTCCTGTTTGAGTTATTTTATTTCGTACAGTAACACGAAAAGCGGTCGCTTATTGCGTAGAAATTAACTTGAGTATTATGGTTGGTCAGGATATCTGCTGCTGGCCCAGTAATTTTAGTGCGTAAAATACCCAATGCGCTATAGTCGCAAGTATGATAATCAAAATCCTTAACCGAGTCCATGAACTCCATGCTTGCGATTGCCAGTATCTACATATATTGGGTTTAGTTTAGTAAAGATTTAAAAAGTTCTAAATCGATGTCTTTGGTATCACTAATAGTGAGTGCTAGTTGTGCTTTTAGTGCGGTCATTTCCATACTCAAGTCTTT